AGTAATGCCAGGTCAACATTTTTCTTGGTCATTCAGTAGTAATGCCTTGGGGGTGATGAAAGCAACCAAGTAAAGGGCATATAAAATATATTTATTGTGGCACATTGCTTGCCATAATTGAGTATTACTAAGTACTGCAGATTGAGTAATACTCAGTCCTCCTGCAGCATTTTAATGGACCTAGACCAGGCGTGGGCAACTCCAGGCCTCGAGGGCCGGTGTCCCTGCAGGTTTTAGATGTGTCCTTAAACCAACACAGCTGATTTAAATGGCTAAATTAGCTCCTCAACATGTCCTGAAGTTCTCCAGAGGCCTGGTAACAAATTAATCATGTGATTCAGGTGTGTTGATCTAAGGTGAGATCTAAAACCTGCAGGACACCAGCCCTCGGGGCCTGGAATTGCCCACCCCTGACCTAGACACTGCTGTTTCATATTGTCATGCCGGTTGGATCAGTCGACACAGTCACATGGACTGATTCAGAGTGCGACTCTGTAATTCTGAAAGTCACAAATGTTTGAAAATCTTCACTTCTTTTTGTTTGCTGTCCATTTCTTACTTCTCCTTTTTACACCATAACCAAAACAGGCTTTAACACACTGTTGTAAACTTGAATTTGCACTTTTAAGAGTGAGAACATATCATTTAGGCACATAAAATGTTTTTAATTAGTGCGTGTTAGGTAGTTATGTCTGGGTGTGTTCAAAGTGTGTGTGGCTGTCGCTCGTGGATGAGCGCTGTGCATCTGGCTGTGTGCTCAGAGTTTCTCCCGCTGTCTACGGATGTTTATGGCCAGAGAGAGAGACCGTACATGTGGGCTGATGTTCATTTGAGTTACTCATATTGCCTGTGTGCGTACACAACACCACGCAAATGACAGGGTTGGCACAACTCTGCTCTAAACTGCCTGGAGTTTACACTCCGCTGTGACTGTTTCACTGCATGCTGGGGTGGGATCTAAACATTGTAACTCAACCTTTTTCTGTTTTGTTTTGTTTTTTAAACGTGTTCTTGAAATATTTTCAAATGTTGCTGTCTCTGCAGTCCTTGTGACAAAAAGTTAAACTACATTCTTACAAATTTCTGAAGAATTAAATGGTCAGCTCTTAATGCTTCTCAGTAACCTTAAATAGGAAGCTTGACATTACACGCAACATATGAAGAGGGTGTTTCCTACGGTACAGGTTATTTTAACAGTATGGGTGTTGTGTGGGTGTGCATTGTTTTAAGGGCTGACACTGTAGAGAGAGAAAATGAGATATTATAAGGTTACTAGAGTAAAGTAAAACATGATACAGTGCGTGTAATAGAAAATGCTACAGAAAGTGCAGATAGATTTACAAAGGAGAAAAAAGAAAAAGGAAAAACAGGGAAATTCATTTTACTCCAAGTGGCTGAGGCATCGTGTGCATTAATGTGTCTCAGCCAATAAAAACACAGCTTCGTCCCCCCATAAATATGAAGCTGGCTAGAATCAGATGTCTAAAGTAAAAAGATTTCCATCGCAACAGATACCACAAATAGAAAACCAGCAGTAAAATTTTCAGTCCTTAAGTTTCGGATTAGGACTTTTGAGAATTAAACGGTTTCACTGTGAGAAATAATGAGAAGATTTTTTTTTCCTTCTTTTCAGTTTTGACATCAGTGTTGCAAAATATCAAGCAGAGAGCACTACTCTGGATAAAATCCAGTCAGTAAACTCGTCCCATTTGTGTGGCTGTTGATACTTGGCAGCTTTCAGATTTTGTCCAAAATCAAATATACAGTTTTGGATGCCTCAGTCTGGTGATATTGTTTGCCATCTTAGTACGTTTGGAGCCAGTTCAGTTAATGTAATGAGAATGGCATTAGCTTACACTAATAAATTAGCTAGTGAGTGTAGATGATAAGCAGGTGGCCTCAGGTAGATAAGAAAGTTAAAATCAATGTTGTGGTTCTCTTGTTACTCCCAGATAAGCGTCACTGGAATTTAAGCAAAGGAAAAATTTGTTTTCCCTTTTATTAAATAATAATTTTAAACAAATGGTTTGCATAAGAAAAACTGACCACAAGTTGACTGCTGGAGGATGAAATGGTCAGAGAACGCCTTTAAAGCGCTCAGTGCTGCCAAAAGAACATACAGAGTCAGTCACTCCTGGACATTTCTCTGACGTCGATATTCAGACGTAAGGGTTTGTTACAATGTATGACCTTTGAGGAGGAATTGTTGACTTTTCCAGATGGCACGATCTTTTCTAATCTGTAAAAATAAAGAGATATGACTGGAGACAAATTAGAACTGAAATGAAATTTGTGTGCTTCAACAGAAAACCACAGTATGACAAGGGGATGGATGTGTTAGTGGTTGTGATTAGGTCTTTGTTTATGATCAGTGAATCAACATTTCAGTTTGGTATTTGATGAAGCTAAGAAAATAGGTTATATAAAAAATTCTCACTTTCTAGTTTTACTACATAATGATCTCACTGCCTGTCTGTCTACAGGTAACAACTGGCAGTTTGCATTCAACGTCAAGTTCTACCCTCCTGACCCATCCCTCCTCACTGAAGACATTACAAGGTACACACACGCACACTCACACATCAAGGTCTAACACCCAGTGTTTCCTTTAAATTTATTACTTTTTATTTGTGTTGAACATAAATTTAAAAAAGTAGGGCCGGGGGGGGGGCAGGCAGTTCTGGTATCAAAGCACTTATCTGGCCATATATATATAAGCAAAGTAGAAAATTGAACCAAAATACAAAAAAATTAGGCCCTACTATCAAGGCCAAAAAAAGTTGGCTTTGTGCACGTTATTTCTTTTTGCATTTATACATAGGCAGACACGCACAGAGGCATGCTTCAAGCACACAGCATTTAGACTGAGGTTTGTGTCTAATGGAGCGGACAGCTTCTCTGATGGTTGCACTTAAAGGCTAAACAAGGACACACTCACACTGCTGTTGACCTGCTGCAAAAAGTCCTAAATGTTCTTCGGCTCTGTAAGTCTGCAAATTTATAAGGAGCTCCTGTTAGGTTTTAACAGTCAGATTGCTAATCAGTGCAGTCCACTAGTTGTATTCCACAGGATTTTCCACAGACTGTATCCAATACCTATTTTCTATTCATTAATTATCTAATTAGCCATATTAGAATGGAAAAATGCAGTATTGTCCTGGGACATTATATTGACCTAGTTAACAGGGAGCTGTGTAACTCGATGACTGAGCTTTAAGCCTCCCTGTCAGCAAGTGTCCATCCTGCTTAAAGTGACTTTGAAAGACATTTTCAATAGGCAGAATAACACCTTTGGGTCTTTGGGTTGTTTGAAGTGACGTTTCATTAGATAATGGATTCATGACCAGACGGTTAATCGAGGGGACAGCTTACACTGTTTAAGTCCACACGGCTGCTAGACAAGTCAGTAACTGCAAATATAAACATTATGATAGATAAGTATAACAGCAGTTGTGCAAACATCAAAGAAATTTAATCCATACCAGAGGATCTTATTCTCAAGCTTAAAAGAAGCATGGATGTCTTTAATATTTATTGTGAACAATAGAAGTGCTTCCACTTCAAAGGAAACCAAAGAAAAAGCTTTGAACAAGTTTTGTTCTTGTTTATACTTGACTTGGTTTCAACTTGTAATCCGTCCTTGTTTGCCCCCTTTCTTCTTTTGTAGGTACCTTTTGTGTCTGCAGCTCCGTGAAGATGTGGCTTCTGGACGGCTGCCTTGCTCATTTGTAACTCACGCTCTGCTGGGCTCATACACGTTACAGGTACAGCAGGTGTAATTATGTACTTGGATGCTGTGTATTTATTTATCTGCGTTTACATGCACATGTGTGTGATGTGCAGCCGGTGGATACATAACTGTCTTTTTTGGAAAAAGCCAATTCGTACATAAGTTCTTTTTATTTTTTTGTTCTTTTTTTTTTTTTTTTTTTTTTTAACAGGCAGAAATTGGCGATTATGAACCTGACCAGCCTCGCCCTCTGGACTTCATTAGTCAGTTGACCTTCGCACCAAATCAGAACAAAGAAATGGAGGAGAAGATTCTTGAGCTCTACAGGTCCCACAGGTCAGTTAGGAAGTTCTTTTGAGTGTATTGTATATGAGTTTTATGTGTCTCCAGCTGTGCTTTAAAAGAATTATATTTCCTGTTTATATTTGCACAACTGGACATCACACAGATTTGTACAAGGGAGCTTCCGTTGCGTAGCGTAGAGCAGTTTTACAGTGTCTGTCATGTAAAAGTGATAATAATTTGTTTTTGTATATGTCTGAAATAAAGATAAAGATAATCCACTTGAGGGTAATCGAAATAAGACCTTATACCAGCTGATTAGGAACAGGGGTTATCTAAACCTAACAAGAGTAAGTAACAGCAGTAGAAGTTTGATAACATAGTCAGATTGTAGGCTCATGTTATCTGTCCTCATTACATCACAACATTTTTAATAGAGTAGAAAGAGATGCGCAAAGCACTTTACCATTCCAACACAACACGCTGACTTTTTGGCAGCCTGTAGACGATTGACTGTGTTACTTCATCTTTTTCCAGAAAAGATTTCCAGCTGAAATTAAATTATCTTCTGGTTTGAAGTAGTGTTTTTTTTT